GCTCTGGTCCCGCTGCCGTCGCCGTGCGGGCTGAGCTTGTGCCCCCTGAGACATGCGTCCCCTCGGGCGGGCGGGCAGAGCCGGGGGTCCCGGCGTAGGGAGGAGGCTTTGTAAGGTTATGGGGCGCTGAGGAACTGTGGAGAGACACTAAAGGCGGAGGGGGAAGCTGCTGGGGGTGGGAGTGTGTGTATGAGAAGGGATAGGAAAGGAGCCAGTAAAGCACAAGCAGGAGGAACTAATGGCAAACTCTTGAATGTGTGACATTCCTCAGGGTATAATTTGGACCAGTGTTTCTCACCCCCCCCCTTTTTTTAATACCCTTTTCTCCAAAAAAAAAAAAGGGGGTAAGTACCCCCAGTACCTACAGTGTTCAGACACACATTTATTTCTACCATTGCAGCACACTTGTTTAAACAACTTAATCGGAGCTGGGCAGGCAATGATATTGGGGGGTGTAAAAAGTACAAAAATAATAAAACGCTGTCAAACCTAAAAAGAAAAATTCAGGTTTTTTTCAAATTTCAGTTGTTGATGTACCCCTCCAGACTTCTCCGGAGTACTCTAAGGGTACATACCACTGGTTGAGAAACACTGATCTGGACTGTTAAAACAGTTGTGTCCCCTGAGTTCTGTGACCTTGGATTCTTTTTATGTTGCTCCCCTGGAAGAACCACTATTCACACACCATGTCTACTGTGCAAAATCACTTACACCTGAATTGTGCATGCTTCTAGCCAGCCACTCCTGAATTATATTGCACAGCGACACGTGCAAATGCCTAGTCCAAGACTTGTCCCTAGAGATGTGTCATACTGCACAGCTCTTTCTTTCTGGTCAATGCTAGCTCAGAGAAAGTCCATTTCATTAATGGAAAGTGGTTTACACAAACCGTATCTCAAATGGAGCTTCTATGTACTTCAATCCAAACTCACCCTGGTTTAGATAACACCAATTTATTAATTACAGAAAGCTAGATTGTGATTACAAGTGATAAGACGTAAAAATCTGAATTGGTTACAAAGAAATAAAAAGTAAAACAAATTTAAATCTAACATCAACCTAATTTACCGAGCTAAGTTAAAAGTTTTTCTCATATGTTCACAGCAGTCTGGCTGACTCAGTCAGGACTAGGGATATAAGCAACTAGTCAACTATCTGATAAGCGAATACTTATCAGGTAATCAAGTAGCATCTCAAGGAGTCACTCCCTACCTCTATCAGAGAGAGGCATGGGGCAGGGGGTTCCCCCCCACCACCCCCAACTCTGAAAGAGACAGTGGGGAAATGGCATGAGCAGGGTCTGCTTCAGTCCTGGCTCTCACTGGTTCCCACCGTGGACACTTCTGGTTTTGAAATGTACAAGAGCCCTAGAGGGCTCTTGTATCTTTCAAAACCAGAAGTGCCTGCAGTGGGAATCAGTGCAAACTGGGACTGAAACAGACCCGCCTGCCTGCCATATGCTTTCTGTGGCACCTCCTTGCTGCCTGTCTGAGAGGTAGCACGGTGGGGGACAGGTTTTGGTGCTGGGGGGAGCCAGCTTAAAAGCCAGTTGACCCTACAGCCATCTCTGCAAAGCATCTCAGCCCACGGAGGGCCGAGGGTATACTGTGGCATTCTCCCCAAGCTGGGTGGTAAGGGGCTGATGGCTCCTATTCCTGGGGAGGCTTCTCTGTAGTATAATGCTAAGCTTTATACTGCAGATCCTGCAGCACATGTAAACCTGTAGCCACTAAGGCTGTGTCTACACTGGCGGCTTCTTGCGCAAGAACGTCTTGCGCAAGAAAAGGTCCACACTGCCATGTGTGAGCTGTGCTTTTGCGCAAGAGCATCCATGGCAGTGTAGATGCTCTCTTGTGCAAGAAAGCTCTGATGGCCATTTTAGCCATAGGGCTTTCTTGCGCAATAAATCCCTGCTGAGCATCCACACTGCCCTCTTGCGCAAGAGCTCCTGCGCAAGAGGACTTACACCTGTTAAAAAAGAGCTTAGTGCTTGCTCAAGAAGCCCTCTCTTACCACGCCGTACTGTAAATTTCCTTGCGCAAGAGCGGGAGGGCAGTGTGGACAGGCAAGTGTTTTAGTGATTACATGGCTACCTTATTGCACGATTTTACAGAACTCTGTACTTAGTTGTTTTTACAAAATAAGTGATCGAACCCCCTCACCCATACTTTGAACAACCTGATAAGGTATGATTCTGCAACCACTGAAAGAACAGTAGGACTATGGAATCATCTGCCTAGGAAGGTTGTAGAAGCTCCTTCACTGTAAGTTTACAAAAGGAGGCTGGATAGCCATCTGTCTTGGATGGTTTACTGCCCTGACTCTCTGGACCAGGCTGAGTGTAATCTAACATCCCTAGTACAGAACCTTTTATTTGCATAAAAACCTATAATGAGTTGTAATAAAAAATGTAAGTACAAGTGTTTGGTTGCATGTCATCTGGTAAGATTGATGTTTCATTTGCTGGTTTTGTCAGAAATACCTAGGCATTCTCTCACAAGTTTCTGAAAAGCCCAACATTTTACTGGCAACAATCACCCAGAGCTGCATGCATTTCACTTTACAGCACGCAAGATGATACAGTGTAGAGAGATTGGTTGGAGATGGAATTCTTTCATTTTGCTCTATAATCACTTCTTCCTTTTCTTTAGCTAGCTGGAAAATTTGCAGCCTGAAATAGAAAGCCTAGCTAAGCGTCTTCGCTATGAAGTTTCAATTCGTGGGAAGCAACTGGATTGGTCTGAAAAAGTTGCTAGGTAAGATACTTACAGTACCTTACAAATCCACTTGATCTAAAAATAAGAGTCATGTATAAAGATGATGGCAATATGTATCTAAAAATCTGATAAATCTACAAATCTGACACGAATAAGTATCTGGCCTCTGGTTTGCACACTGAGGCACTTCTGGTTTTAAATCACATAAATATATCACGCAGAATAAGATGTCAAACATGGAATCATGATGGTGAAGAAATTAACATTGGAAATCCACAAAAAAGAAAGAGGTTTGAAGGCTTCCTTCCACTCCTAGCACTTTTGGAGTGCCATAAATCTGCTGATTCACAGCTGTTCAAGCTCTGGGAGTAACGGGCGAAGAGCGGGAATGGAGTGAGAATCATCAGCGGATTCATGACATTCTGAAAGTGCTGGGGGTGAGTATGAAGTGTAGTGCCCCAGTGTGTGAGAGGTGCATGTGGGAGTGAGGAGGCAGCCAGGTGATGCATGAGCATCTGACAAAGCTTGTGTCCAAAAACTTATGTCCAAATAAATCTGTTAATCTTTAAGATGCCCCAGGACTCCTTGTTGTTCAAGCTATAAAGAGAAATCTCCCTAGTCTTATTTGATTCACCTGGTACTCCTGTGCAGTATTTGAAATGAACTGTGTGTGATATGAAACCTGCAGATTATTATTTATATTACAAGGAGTTTTGTTTTGTTTTTCAATTAGATTCCATTTCAGGAAGAATCTAGGAAGGATTGTTTCAGAACTGTATGTTCGAGACAACTGCCACCCCTTCAAGGCTAGTCTGCTGATGTGGATACAGATTCCAGCGTGGGTGTTTGTTTCCATAGCTTTGCGTAACTGCAGTGTAGGTGCCGCAGACTCAGAAGGTGATCATTCCGAACAGGTGTACTGAAAATATATGTTTGTTATGATAAATTCTACTTCTCCAATTACAATTTATCCAAACATAGTTTGGTTTGAAAAGTAGAATTTGAGTTATGTTTGAGATGTAAGATTGTTGGAAAAATAGCCCAAATATGGCTAAATGACTCCTGTGAATAATACTGTATTTGTACAACTTTTGATTAGGCATGTCATATGCTATGCTATCGGTCCATGAAATCCAGAAGCCTATATCTGGCCTATTTCTGTATTTCTTTTCACACAGAATTGTTCTGGTAGATCAGTAATTCAGCGCATACATAGACACAAAGTAACCTTTCTTTTCATTCATAAAGTTCATTTGCCAATAGTACCTGTAAAAGTATTTGAACACAGCACTATAGTACAACTATGAGCTAAAAGAGCAAAGTGGGATGCTTGGGATGATCAGTTAACAGCAATGTTAGTATTCGAGCTCTAGGAATAATTTAAAACAGGGGTTGGCAACCTATGGCTCGTGAACTGGATATGGCTCTTCTGAAGCCCCAATGCACTCCCTCCCCCATTCCTCCACAGCAGGGAGCCTGTGCTAGTGCTGCAGCTTCACGGCCCCTTCACAAGACTGGAACATCAGCACCAGCTTCCTGTGCAGAACAGGAGTTGGATGCTGTGAGCCTCCACGCCAAATCCAGCATGCAGGGAACAAGCGGAGCTAAACATGACCCGGCATGACAGCATTTTCCTTCCCCCTGCATGGGGGAACCAGGAACCAAAAAATGCTGTGGGTGCACCGTCATTTCCTTCCCCCGAGACACTTCCTAGAGGCTTCCCCTGCAAATGGGGTGTTACTTGTTTTCACACAGTGTGGCAGGCACCATGTAAGTGCTCTCCACCCCCTCATGCTCAGACCCCCACCCCCTGCTCTCTTTGCCCCCATCCACACACACCCTGACCCCTCACATCCTGACCCCTTAGCTCCTGGCCAGATACCCCCACCTCCTTACCCCCTTTCTCCTGCACCCTCACCCCCTCCTATACCCCATCTCCCATCCAGATCCTGCACCTTCATCCCTATACCACTCCTGACTGACTTTTCCATGGGTCACTGACCGCCACCCTAAAAAAGTTCCCTACTGCCATAAATAAAGACAATGTTGAAACCTTTTGTGTTGGGCATAATATTTTACTATATTTAAAAATGAAGCGTGGCCAGTAAGCCCCCAATTGGGGCCCAGCTCTCATCTGGCTTCAGTATCATAACACTCCTGCATCCCCCCCCCCACCACCACCAACCCTGAGCCCATTATGCATCTGAACCCACTTCTGTGAGCCCTTCATACCCCCACATCCTCAGCCCCTTGCCATAAGATTGATAGAAGACAGCCTGAATGCCTGCATGAAGGGGGATTTGACCAGTTATGATGTGAACTTTAAAGAAATGTGTTAAGAAATGCAGCAGCAGAGATCCCACTAAATAAAGTCTGTGAGTACAATGTTGATTTTATGCTATTATTAATCATTATGTTAATTATCAATAATATGAAGTATATTTTCAGTCATGCAAATGGGCATTCTTATACGGCTCTTTGTTGGCCTCTTGTTCTGAATTTTGATGTAGTTTGATGCTTTGGTTTGAAAAGGTTGCTGACCCCTGGTTTAAAATGTGTTAAGTATGCTCTTTGGGCACTAAATTATTTTGTGTGCTTTGCAAGTCAAAGTTATAGAAGTCCTACTTAGCATGTAAAAATACTTGTGTAACAGAATGCACAAAATTACACTCTGCGTTTTTTTTTTATTATAAATCTTTAAGATTTAGATGAACTAAAATCTGTTCACCAAAATGGTACAGATTGTACCCCTCTAATCTGGCACTCTCGGGACCTCATCTGTTCTGAACCAGAGAATTTTCCGGACCACGGGAGGTCAATATTGTCTAGCATTATTACCATCACTTCTTCTGCTTACTGGGCTTTTAGAGGATATTTGGGGGTAAATTACAACTGAATAATAGCACAGAACACTGAGAACTAGGACTGGTGGCTCTAAACAAACTTTATGGAATTGTAGAAAACTTGGCCACACCCATGGAAAGTGGACATCTGGCTAACTAAAATTCGGGATGACGGATGTTTCTGAAGCAGAGAGTTCTGAGTTAGAGTGTTTCAACCTGTATTTTATTTTATCCTCTCCATAATATAGGTGTTTTGACTGTTTAAAAACTAGATTATCATATGCAGCTTTAACCCAACATTTGATGTTTTCACTTTGATTCAAATATGTTGACATCTTGCGTTCCAAGTCTAACAAAGTACTTTTGGTCATTACGGATTCCTGCATGAGTTATCTTTAATAGCATCCCCCATCTGGGCAAGATTTTTAGACTTCAGTGGGTAGATTTTTAAAATAATTGTAATGCTCCTGTTCTTCTGGCACATGACATTATTTAAATTTCTAAATATTATTGGGCTAAATAACTAGTCATTTAGCCCAATACACTTTAGCTGTCATTAGGAAATTTTTTATTGTTATAAAAAAATTTGTCATTAGGGACAGAAGGTTCAGAACAAGTTAGTTTTCATCATCTGTTTGCCTCAAATCCTGTCAGCCTGCAGTTCTCATTAGTCATTTCTTTGTCTTGTTGGACAGACTGTCTTCACTTTTAATCTTGTGGATGCTTTTTTTAAAAGGACATCCTTGTATACATAAAGAGAAACTACAGGTTGGACCTGATTGGTCGCGGACAAAGGAGTGTGCCAGGTCGGGGGAGAAGAGGAACACCAGCCTCCCTTCTGGGCTCCTCTCCCCAGCCATTGGGCTCCGCTGCCTGCAGCTCCACTGGTCCCACCAGCTATATAGCTCCGCTGGCTCTGCAGCTTCTGTTGCCCTGCCGGCCTCATAGATTGTGCTGCTCCACAGGCTTTGGCAGCTCTGTCTGTTCCATTCCTAGCTGCTAGCAAACTCTGCCTCTGGAGGTCTCTGGTCCAGCAATATCTGTGGTCTTGCCAGACCAGAGTCTCTCAGATTACGGAGGTTCAACCTATAGTAATTGGTGTTTGCAAAGTGAATTTCCATCTGATGCATTATAAGAACAGTGTTTTAAACATTATAAGAGCATTATAAGACATTTAAAGCATTATAAGAACATTCTTTCAAAGCTGCTGTTTGGAATTCTTTGATTCTGTATCTCCTCTATATCATATAGTGGATTTTGTCTTGGCATTTCACAGTCTATAGATAGATACAGTTTTCAGATGTCCAAATGCATGTTTGATAGTGAGTGAGAGCAAGACTTGACTATGACTTTTGCTATTGCCTGGCAGGGAAGGAGCTTTCCAGTTGATACATGTGTGTGCACAAACACACAATGTTAAAAAAAAAAAAAAAAAAGGAATACAGCAAAATAACAAAAGTTTTTTTTGAAAAATCAATTTAAAAGAAAAAGTATGTGTAATTTTGACTGACTTTGAAGAGAATGATGTACTGAAAATATGTATCAATTTTAAATAGGCCTTGCAGTTCAGGAACAGCTGTCAACAGGCGGAACCCTGTGGTTTACAGACCTTACTTTACCAGATACTACATGGATTTTGCCAATCTCACTTGGGCTCCTCAATTTGCTATTAGTGGAGGTATGTTGGTTGTGAATGTTGGACCATTGTAAAAATTATAATTCTTTTTTTAAAGCTAGAACTGATTCACAATTACTTTACAAAGTGTGAAAATACCATGACAGCTTCTGATTACCTTAATTCATGGTTTAGAAAGGAAAAAATATGTAATTGTTTCAAAGTTGAGGTTGTACAGATCCTGCACGTTGTGGTTGCTGATAAATTCTAATATGGCATTTCAAAAATTACTTTTATGTGGGTTAACCTCAGAAAAGTTTACTCTTCTTTCCAGAGTGATTCCTGTGAGAATACATTAATAAGCCTATAGTATTTTTCACTGCCATTTGTAAAGGTTACATTTTGGTTTGTGAATAATATGATCCTTATTGGCATCTTTCTTTTGGTGTTAGACAGAGTTCTCATTTAGGTCCATCTTTAGTGTACTGTAAGTGATGATTGTGGGTAAAGAAGGTATGATTCTAAATGAGCTGAAAACTTGATAAAAGCAAACCACATACAAATAAGTTTAAAATATTGAGAAAAAAATGTTGTTGTTAAATTAAGAAACCAAAGGGATTGAGAGAGTGGAACCTATTGTAGAAGTCATCAGTATTAGGAAGGGACTATAGAGATCCCTTTATCCACCTCAGCACTCAATGATTTGAACAGATTTTCCAATGAGCATGTATCATGCAACTTCTGGATTTATACATTCTGGTTCTGTTCTGATGAATTATTTTTAAAAAATCCCTTATCTATTAGGAAAGAGTTTCCTTCCACTCTTGAAAAGTATGCAGTCTCAACATTGAGAACTCATGTTCTGTAAGACAAAATACATTCTTCACTTTAAAAACAGGTTGTAAAGAGATTAGCTATTTTGGCAGATAAATCTTTTATCTCATAACTAAAGTTTCCATGTGTCAGGACATCTTTCTGCAGTGTTTTACCCTAAACTCTCTAGTGCTAGAGAACAATTTCTCCATTCTCTTGGTGTCCATAGGTTGCTGGCCTTTTACATTGATGGACTGAAACCTTTTAGAAAGTCACTACAGCTGTTTGTAGTAGATGAAGGGCCAGCCAGTATCGTTTCAATGAATCTCTTCATGGATAGTGTCCTGGTTCGGGGAATATTATGGCCTTGCAGGTATACCCCACCACCACCCCCCACAATGCACTCTACTAGGGCCCAGGCTTCTTTACTGCTTTTCTTGGTCAGATCCCCATCCTGGAGATCTGCAGGGTAGCAACGTAGTCATCAATACATGCCTTTGTTTCACACTATGCAATCACGAGGCAGTCTAGAGAGGATGCAGCATTTGGGAAGGCAGTGTTCCAATCAGTGCAGAACTCCAACCCCACCTCCTAGACATCCTCTTGTGAGTCGCCTGATTGAAATGCCCGTGAACAAGCGCTTGAAGAAGAAAAGATGGTTACGTACCTTTCGTAACTGGTGTTCTTCGAGGTGTGTTATTCATGTCCTTTCTAGTACCTACTCTCCTTCCCCTATGATAAAAAGGAACTGAGGAGGGGGGCGGTTGGCAGGGTGCCATAACAGTGCTGCTCCAGGGAGCACTGGGATCAGCCCTACGGCTAGCTGCTAGGGGAGAACACTTTCAGCTACTGTGCATGTGTGCACACAGATACCAGATTGGAATGGACATGAACTACACATCTCGAAGAACACCAGTTATGAAAGGTACATAACCATCTTCTTAACTAATTTTGAGCTTAAGCTTTTTTTTATACGTTTGTTACATCATAAGCAGGAATATATCCTACACATACAACAGAAGTTCACAGATATCAGGACACTATACACACAAGTCTGTGGTCTTTTTTTTTTTTTTTTTTTTTTTTGCATCCTTGATAATTCCAAAGCTGTGCTCTTTCTTTGTGTGAGGTGCGGGATGAAACAGAAAATAAAATAACAATTGAAAGGAGAAAAAAAAAGTAGCTTACTATTTACACCAGGACTCATTGTAAATTCTTGTTGATATAGTGAAACTTTTGGAATATGAATGAGAATGTTTATGAATATTAAAAATAAAACATGTAGAGCAATCTTGATTCTCCACGTTCTTGCTCTTTTGCAAAACTTTGCAGAAATAATGATGTCATATAGTTTTCATTGCCTTCATGTGTCTGGATTTCATTCTTGTTCTGTTTTGTTTTTTCCATGTGGATTACGGTAGTCTTGCAAAATAAAAGTCAAGGTTTGCCTATACACATTCTGCTTCCTTTCAATTATTCATTAAGCAGGTTAGGGGGTTACGATCCATCTCTTCGCAGTAGCCGTCTCTCAGAGGACTGTTTGAGGATGAGGTGTTGGAGACTTATTCAATGTGCAAAAACTGTTCTGTGAAGTAATGTTATCTTAAAATGTTTTAGATTGATGACTCTTAGTGTTGATGTAAAACCAGCCAGAAAAAGATTGATTATTAACTGTGAGGAACCAAACAAATTAAAGAAGAGAGTTTATGAATATTTTTCAGTTTCTTAACTTTGCTGTAAAACAGAATATTTGGCTGGATCAAACTTATTGTAACATTGAATGTGCTTGTTTAATTTCCTTTGTATTTAAAAGAAATCTTTCTGATATGTTCATTGTTATGTTTTTGCCTCTTTAGATCTTTGCTTTGCGAAAACTTGAACTGTCTAGGTTCCAGAAGTATGTTACCAATTTCATTCGAGGACTGTCATTACTGATGATTCCTATTGCTGCAACTGTACCTTCAGTAAGTACACAACATAGTCATGTGTATCATATGAGATTGCATTCATCTGTACCTGGGTTGGCAAGACTGCATTCATTATGCTAAAAGTGCAGCTCAAGTGCATGATTTCTATTGTGAACCATAGTCAATATTATACTTCATACTATTTTAATAGTGACTATTTCACTCAAAGTGTAATGTGTGCAGGATTTGTAAACTATAAAGGTCACCATTTAGTACTCATATGGGAAAGGTTCTTTTTGCACTTACATTATTTTAGATGCAGCCTTTAGGGTCTACTTAAATTATGTGGATTGTTACAAGCACAACACATGTTATACTATATAAGATGCAATAACAAGTAACCTACTCCAATGATCTGACAGTCTATAAGACAGAAATAGAAAAAACAGGCTGGGAGACCCAGGGAAGGAATTGATTTTCAAATGTTAAACACCCCTTTGCCATGTATATTGGCGAAACCAGACAGTCTCTGCTAAAGGGTAAATGGACACAAATCAGACATCAGGAATAGTAACACACTCAGACCTGTAGGGGAACATTTTAACCTCACTGGACATTCATTCTTAGTTATTCGTCGATCGTGGTCGACGAAGACCTCAACACCACTAAGTGCTTTGAGACTGGATACAGTGTGTCCGAAGATGACTTATCAGGCCAATTCGGGCACCAAATGTCCTGGAACATGTCGGGCAGACGTGTAGGCATTGCAGTCGTTGTGCTGGTAGCTTTGGACTTGCGCAGCACACAATTGTGTTGTGCTTCAGAGATGCGCCTTGTTTCGAGAGCTTGGCATCCCTTGTGGATGAGACTGTGCCAGGTAGGGCGGTTGTGTGCCAGCGATTCCCAGGTGGTTGTATCAATTCCGAACGACCTCAGGGAGGCCTTGAGTGTGTCTTTGTAACATTCATTAATGGATTTACAAGTAGCCATTCTTCTACAAAAGAGCTTTCTTACCCAATTACAGAGGGAGACAGCAGAACTGGAGTTCATTTACAAATTCAACATTGTCCACTTAGACTTGAATAATGATCTTAACTGGTTAATGCTACAAAGGCAATTTTCCCTCTTTCGATACTTGCATCTCCACATCAAATGCTGCAAAGTAGACATCCACCCTGACCTTATTAGCCTCATTAACACTGGTTCTGCAATTTACAGGTAACTTCTTTTGCTGGTATATATACCTCGGATTCTATAATTTCCACTCTTACTCATCTGATGAAGTGGGTTTTACCCATGAAAGCTCATAACCTAATAAATCTGATAAATCTCTAAGGCGCAATAGGACTCCTCATTGTTTTTATAGTTACTGATTAACGTTGCTACTGCTCTGAAACAAATGTGATGTGGCTAGTGTTTTTTTGACCTTTTGGAAATAACACTGGAACTGAGGGTTGTTGATTGCATAGAAGGAGAACACAAAATGGTTATTAAGAATGGCGTCACTGAAGAACAGAGGTTGATAAAGAAAATAAGAAACAAGATCAATCTTAGTGGAATGGGTATTTTAATATTTGGTGTGTTTTTCTAAAGACATTGTTTGAATCCAACAAAAACTATTCTATTAAACAGCCTGTGGACAGTAGGTTGATCTAAATGTTACTGTGCAAACTTTTACTAAAATGAATGAGTTTTTTACATGGTGCTCATATTATGGTATATGCTCCATATGTTGTTTTCTTTAATTAAAAGTAGTTGTTTTCTGGTAATTTTGCCACATATTAAAAAGAGCAAGCCCAAAAACTCATTATTGCTAACATTATTTTTAAGTTGAGTATTAGAAAATGTCTGGAATTGGTCTGTTTTTGGGTTGGACTTGTGAATTGAAAGGCTAACCTTGCTTATATAATAAGAGATAGAGGACATTGCAGAAAAAGTTTTTCTGTAAGATATGAACAACCTATAATTTAGAATTACAGAATTTTCCATGAAAGAATCTTGAAAGTGGTTGAGTAGATTTTTACTTGATGAATTGCATGTTCAGTTGTGCATTTGAAATGGTTATGAGATGTCTGTACACAGTTTGTTTTTTCAAGCTTATTTTGATTAAAAGAGGAAAGAAGTGTAAAAATGAATGTAAAACATTGGGTCCTAAAATTTTGTCATAGTTTTACAGTAGAGTTAATAAACTGAAAAATGAGGTTTGTAATGGAAATGTTGCTTAATCTTAGCTGCTTATCTAGGGGTGAATACAGAGGAGAGTTGAGTTTCTTAGTAAGAAATTATCAGTTATTGTAGTTTGTGAAAATCTACTGGAATTGCAGTGGTGTTATTGCCTGTGGGTTGCTGAATGCTGTGTTCATGTCTTCCCTGCAGTCCATGGCTTTATACTGGTTATGCTCCAGCTTCATGGGACTCTCACAAAACCTGCTACTGCGCTCTCCAACCTTTCGTCGACTGTGCCACATACCAAGGACCAAGTCTGACTCGGACACTCCTTATAGGGATATAGTGTCTGCCTTTTATACTAAGTACTTTTTTAAAAAGTGATTACACTTGCACTAGTGGAAGAACTACCCTGTACAGGCAACTTTAGTGCTTGAAAAGTCATATTGTATTGAAATGTAACTATTTAATATAGTGGCAAGTCTGTGCTACCACGCTACATCAGCACATCTGCACTGATGCAACTTCATTGCTGTAGTGCATCTGGTGAAGACACAATGCCAACGAGAGAGCATCTTCCACCAACATAGCATGATATGGATGCTGCTTGAAGTTGATGTAATTTAGTCACTTGTGTGGCTTTTTCACCCTACTGAGCGACGTAAGTTACATCGATTTAAGCGATAGTGTAAACAAGCCCTAGGAGCCTCCTTGAAACAGAATGCTGAAAGGCTGCCAATGGAATTGTGTTTCTCCTAATAAAATAGTGGCTGTTTGACATCAAGAAGAGGTGTAGGTAATCGTACTAACTTCTTGGCACAGTGCAAAATTGGTGGTGAGGGGGTTTTAGTTTGGTGTTTTTTGTGAGTTGAGATTTCAATTAATAGCAGCAGCTTTCTTTTATTGGCAACACAGGATGAAGATAAGTGTTAAAATGTTGCTGATGTAGCTCTGCTATTTACACTGAGTTATATCTTAACTACAGACTAGTGAACAACAACATACAGCTGTTTTGAAGACTGGATGGGTCACTGGGTTGGTTGATAGATCTACCCTCTCAAGTCACTTGTTCAGGTTCAGATTCAATAATTGACCACATGTAACAGTCTGGTCCCTGGAATACTTCTATTGACAACTGAGATGATGTTCTTGTGAAACAACCAAGCTGGATTAATTGTCTAATTATTTGCAGTGTCAGCAAACTAATCTGAAACAAGATGGGAATCTGGATTTCTACAGCACGAGGGAAGGTTTGCTGCAGTTACTCAGGGGAAAAGGTACAGAACTTTGACTCAGGTTACCTGGGTTGTGTTCTTGCCTCTCATGTTGACCTTGTGTAAGTCCCTTCACAGCTCCATATATTAGTTTCCCTGTAGGATAATGATATTTGTCCTATTTTGTGCATGACTTATAAAACAATATTTTTCAAGTGAAGGAAGTAATTACCATTACATAAAATGAAATGAAATAATTATTTTAACTGAATGCAAAAAGCTGTGGATATACGGGAAGCCAGTTCTAATAAAGGATTAAATACAGAATGTCAGATGCAGAAGATGTTGGGGCTACTTACTGAACATGTCAAAAAAGTTCATACCCATACATAGTCTTTCTCACAGTAGTCTACACTCATAAACTCCACTTGTGAGTTCTTGTCTTGATTTGTTTCATTGTAAGTCAGCAGGCAGTAGTGTTTTTATTCTGGTGGACTCTCTGAGTTAAACTCCCTTTCCATTGAAGATTTACAGCCTTCTCCTAAAAATAAATTATTTTTCTTTTAACCATGTGCATTTTAAATTGGCTACTCTTGGATTCCATGCTTGTTACCTTTCCCTCTCATTCCTGCCCCATGTTTGTATCAGACCTCTTTGTTTGCCCTAATCTTTCCAGGTTGTGGCTTTTATGTAGATCATGATTAGCTCCCAAGAGCAGAGTTTGGAGGGAGCGACTTGTTTATAAATATTTTTAAAATGACAAAATGCTGGATTCAGCTATTGAAATTAGTGGAATGACTCATTGAATTCATTGTTGCTTTAAATCCTAAATGCACAACTACTGAAACCAGAGCAAGAAGCAGCATATTGTTGTAATCCATCTTTGTGTTTGTCACACCACTGGGACATTCATCCCTTTTGAATCCTTAAGAGGATTGCTGTATTTAGCCCATTAAACGAAGCAGGTAAATAGGGTGCTAGGCAAATATAGAGAGGAGAAACAATCTGATACTACTCAGGCATTGCAGAGGAAACCTAAGTGGTCTGGTAGGTATTTCTCAGATAAATCAGAAGTGCAGCTGTTGTTCCACCAGCTAGCTTAAAAGCCTCCTGATGCAGACAGCTGTAGGCTGTGTTAATCCAGAATTAGGCAGGTAAATAGTGAAGTTTTTTTTAAATATTTTGTTTAAAAATGTAAATAGTAGTTAATCTTGGCATTATTAATCCCTACAAACCCCACATCAGAATCGAAATAGACATTTAATGTGCATTTAGCATGTGCTCTCTGTAGAGAGTATAAAATATCCCCATATCAGCTCCAAAAACATTGAAATATCTTACAAATATTATTTTATCATTAAGGTTGAAGTACTTCCATGTAAAGCGTTAGACAGCCTTGCAGACTGAAATCCTCCATTCACAAGATAGGCAGTAAATTGGCAGTGGCAGTTTCCCTGCTGTTTTCTCACTGATGACTTAGAAAAGGTACCACCAGTGGGAGAATGAGGGTGGCTTGGTGTCCAGGTGTATCAAATCCTTGCCATTTGCTTAGAATTTTGCTAGTTACAATGTAATTTTTTTAATGGAGTTCTCACCTTACTGTACAAATAGCAGTAAACTCACAACATCCATGTAAGGTAAGCATGGTGAAGGTTAAGCCTAAATTTTCCAAATTGC